GCTGAGGTGGACATGTTTAGTCAGTCCCCCCCCACCCTCCAAATTACATTAGGCTCTCTTATGTCCTTCAGTTCATGCTGAACTTCATCATAAATATTTGATTCCTGAACTTCATTTGAGACATTCATGCAGCATAAAGTTCTAACCTTGAGTAACATGAATGCGCAGCACTCCAACTAATTTAATTGTCAAGCTGTTCGTCCTTTTATAGTTTCGAATCTCCTAAGAAATCCTTCACAGTGTCACTATAGCACTATAGCTGCACTTGGAAAAATGTTCCATGGGTCTCGGTGTTTGCTTTAGGTTTTACATTGTTCGGAGTTTGGACCCACTAATCCCATGCAGTTGCTCCCACCCCCATGAACTGCTCCTAGTCACGCACAATCTGATCTCCCATCTTCTCATCTGGCCTCGGGTCTGCTTTCCATGCCTCAGCACAGGATAACCCAGATGCTAAATCAACCGAAGCAACTTCTCACACATGAGCTGCCAGTCAGCAAATTACACTCGAGTAGATTTAAACAACTGGCTGTGGGTCATAACCAAACAGTGTGGGCTGGCGTGCAGGGCCGTTTTGCCATATTTATGAGTGGGTGGTCTTGGAGTTCCTGTCAAAACAAGCGAAGGCTGCGCAGTGAGGGCGGTCGACTTTCAACTCTCGGTACAGTCTGGGTTAGATGAGTTACTGCAGCCAATTCGACATTGCCTCCATCATCTTGACCATTTTAACACATGGGATTGGTTGACCACGTCTGGTTAACCAACAGGGTCTTCCAAAGTGCCACCAGGAGCCATGACCGGCCCCAAGTGTTGCCACCGCGACGTTCGCCTCATGTTCCCACCCCTCATCCCACTCCGCGGCCAGAAGTCCCAACCCAGTTCACCTACGACTCTCCGAAACACCTTCATGAGGCAAAGTCCAAATCATGAACCGCCAAAAGACTAGCAACACCTCTTCCAAAGACTATGACTAAGCTTTAAAGACCTCTGTTTTTCCTTCCAGCTCAGCTATTCTCATTTAACCCCGTGCACCAACACCATACAGCGTAGGCAAGCCTAGGTGCCATGTTGGCCTGCAAGCGGAACAGTTTGGTGGCGAGGGAGAGCTCTGGAACCTTGCCGCTCTGCAGCAAGGAGCTGTACCACTGCGTGGTTTCCTGGGCAAAGAAGTGGCCCGCCATGCATCATGAATGACTCATGACGGAAGAGAAAAGGCCTCAAGCCTTCAGGTTTCTATGGGGCCTGAAACTGAGCTCTGCAACTAGCAACCTGGCAAGGCTGCCATGACTGTTTCAGTAGAAGGCAAGAAGCCAACGGGACAGTTTGAGGGTGGACACCTACTGAATGGAGCTGAGTTGGCCCTGGAAAAGTTGAGGACAACATTTACCCAAAGAGATCCAACTGGTTCCTGAAGTCGTAGTTGCTGTTGCCGTTCTGGGCGACAATCTTGGTTCATCTTGGTTCGGGGATGCTTGACACCACGTGTGGATGATGTTTTGTCGTGCTCGACAAGGCTTAAGCAGCTTTAACCTGACAAATCTGCTGATGGAAGTGTCCGCTCCCTGTCTACACACTTGCCCTCTGAAGGCCATGTGTTGCCATGGACTGTGTGCAACATCTTTGGACCTTGGACCTGCGTAACCTCGGACTTTTGCAAACAGCCAAAGTTCTAAGGATCCATAGTTCTGTTTCCATGATTCTGTATCCAACACGGGAGCTGGGCCATAGCTCACGTCCACATGGCAATCCATGTAGGGTCCAAACTATCCAACCCATCTGTCCCCACAGTTCATTCATACCGGCTGCTCCAGCAAAGACCCTTTCCCTCATGCCATGCATCGTGCAGGTGTTCCAAAGCCGCCAACGCGCTGCTATTCAGTGCCTTGCGGATGGCCTCCGGGCGACTCGGCACAGGGTGATGGTGGAGATTGTAAACAGGGGTCCATGGCGGCCATCCCTATAACATAGCCTTCCAACACAGGGCGACTCTAAGGGGAAGGAAGCGGTGACTTCCAAATTAGCTACTCCAAGGTGAGGAGCGATGTACTTACTTGACATAAAGCAACTTCTGCTGCGGCAACAATGGTGCCTGGTCCCTGTCTTCTGTCGCAGTGTCTTTCAAGCTTGCCAGGAGCTCCTGGTGGGACAAATTGAGTGGAAGGCAATTTCTTGGATGATACACAGGACCGAGTACAAGGTAACATAGGCCGCTGTTGGATCTTTTCTGTAAGAAAAACACCCTTCTCAACCGTTCATCTGGATCCATTTGCGATATCTATCCGTCGACCGTGTCTGATCAAAACAGAAAACAACAGGCTAACAGGACGTCAACCGATCTCAGGCTGTTTTGGACTGTTTGGTTTTCAACCCATCAGGCATCCAATGTTTATATAGAATATAGGTCTTGTGAAAAGTGTGAGGAACACAGCGTGCGTTTTTGGCATTTCGATCTCTGACACACACACACACAAACGCAAACACGCACAGCCACAAGAAGGTACACGTGGACCTTTTAGAATAGGTACCCTGCAAATAATATCTTGCACAAAAGGAATGAATTTGAGACTATCTTCGGTGCCCACAACAAATAGAAAAACTATATCCAACAAATGTTGAAGGAGGATTGATTCACAGTTTTCACGAGTTTTTGGGCGTGAAGTGCCATCATCCACAGCCTGGAACCAAACTTAGAATTATACATTTGTGGGTAACCAACTAAGTGTTTGGTGTTTGGTTCCGAAAATAGCGATACACTAAACAAAAACATTCACCCAGCTGTGCCTTTGGAAGTTGTGAACCTCAATTTGTTGCCATCATACCAGTTGAGGCTACCACGGCATCCACATAGATAGACGCAATTTTAACGGCATCTCATCTCCCATTCGTGGATTCACCACTCCATCGACTTCTGGACGCCTGTTTATCCGGCTGGGTTGACCACTTGAAACGCCGGCGTCCTCATACTTCTGCCCTTCGTTTCCAGGCAGAGTCTGACAAAGGAGCGCCAAGCTCTCAGTCAGACCTGGTGCGGTACAGCAAGCACTGAATTCACTGCGGCTCCAGTTGGTACACAGGAGGGTTTCACTGTTTCACACCATTATGGTGCCCTCCGGTTCACCCAAACACCGTGCGCGTGTAAGATTTTGTAAGACAAGGTCAAGGTCTGCATGTGATGTTCATCGGACTTTCGTACTGCCCCGAGGAAAAGTATTCTTGAACAGTTCACCGTTATTTCAACCACCAGCAAGGGCGACACGTAGAAGACTGTCTTCTGCTCGCTCGGTGGCTGGCCAACATCCATCAACACCGGGTGTTTTCAAACCGTTTCAAACCCCTGTAGTGGGTCACAAAATGGATAGGTCGGATAGGACTCTTGAAAATCGTGAGCTACTCTCTCTCTCTCTCTTTCTGTCTTTATTTCTGTCTATCAGTCTGTCTCCCTAGAGTTGAGTTCACAAAGTGCAATCTCTTCCAAAGCCAGCGAAGGCTTCTCGCTTACCGTTTAACTCAGGAAGTTTGGGGTAGAGTTGCTTTTATGTTCGCAACGGTCCGCAGCTGTCGTTGCAAAAGAGTGCCACGCACAAGTACCGCACAAACGTGTACTACACAAGAGTTTCCCACAAGATTGCGCCGCAAGAGTGTCCTACAAGAGCTGCACAAGAGTCGACCCAAAGCGTCGCACAAAAGTGTCCTACAAGAGTGTCACTCTGAATTTTTGTCAGGAGTGTGTCTGAAGAGTGTCAAATAGTAAGTACAGTAAGAGCGTGCGTGCGTGCATTCAGTTTGTGGGCTCCGTCTTCTCTTTAAACCTATTGTCAAGATTTTTCAAGCCTCTTCTTCAGCTCCTCCCTAAGCAGTGAAACCAAACCCTCAGCTTCTCCACCAGTCACCAGTAGCGACCAGTTGACATCCTTCCCCAAACCGCTCCCTTCACCCCAAACCATCCAAACGGCCTGACTGCTCGAAGGCCTTTTGAACATCCACGTCCAAAGGCAAAAGGCTTCGAGGATCCAAGCAGATCAACGCCGCCACGGCCTCGCCCTAGGCCAGTTGGGCGGGTGAACTCGGGGGCTTCTGAGGCAGTGCGTGGAGGGAGACCACTCCATCTGTTGCTGCGAGGTGTTTCTTTGCTTGGGCGAATGTTCGGATTGAACACAGTGCTGCATCTCTTCATCTTCGTGGCCCTCGTTGACTCCTTGCAATGAACACATCTCGCGTTGTGGGACAAACCAAGTACTGTAGATTGTTCTTGAGTCTCGAGAATGAGAGCCGTTTGATGTTTTCACTGCTCTTATTGTAAATTTTGGTAAATGACACCATGCATGACCACGACCACGACCCTAAAACATACATATACATATATATATATGTATCTACTTCGGGAAGGCTGTGCATGTCCCAATCTTAAAAAAAACATGCTGCAAGCTTGCAGCCAATCTTTGAGGCCACCCACCGACCCACCCGCTTTGACGTTGTCCCACGCCTTGGATCCAGCGGACTTTGCTGCCTCCCGGGCCACATTGGCCATCTCGAAGCACACGTTGGCACCTAAAAACACACTCAGCTCGAACACCATGTGGTTTTTTAACAGGTAGTTTTTTGGCATGACAAAGCCCCGAAATGGCACAGGTTGAAGTGGACCACCGTTCCCCACCAAAAGCTTTGTTTGGATTGGCTGAAATACATATATATATATATATGGGTGGAACACATGTGATTGCCAGGGGGTGTGCATCTGTGCCCAAATGAACCAAGGGCAATGTTTGTTCCAGGCGAGTAAAAAGTTCTGTTGAGGCAACTCCCAAACAGGCCTGGTGAAGAACTCGCGGAGCCAACTTGGAACTCACAATCAGTTTATCAAAATTATGAAAACCTTTGCGCAACCAGCTGTTCCATCTTACAGTAGATGATTCTTTTGAGCTCCAAAGCTCCAGAGACCTTTCATCCAAATTCCCACCGGATCTTCTTGGAGCACCAGCCACCGACCAAGTGAAAATGGATCAACACCCTTCTATTCGTGATTTCATTTGACCCCGACGAGTTCTAAGCGGAAGCAAGAAGATGCAAGAACACGACCACTTGTATGAGGGAGTTTGGAAGGATTTGGATCCAATAAACCCCTCCTGGAAGTGAACATTGTCATCAAAACTTTTGATCCCCAATTCGCAAAACCATGGAGCATCGTGAGCCACCAAGGTGCCAAAGGAATGGCCCGCAAAAATGTAGGGCCCTTGAGGCTGCACCTTCTGAATCTCCCTGAAGAAGTGCTCAGAGAGCTCCTGTCGCACTGTGCTCTCACGTAGTCCAGCAGGATTTCTTTAGTTTTCTCCCCAACCAGTGTGGACACACTTAGGGTTTCTGACGGTAGTAGTTAACCAGCTGTGCTTAGATCGCTGTGCTGCACGGCCGTGTCCGGCTAATTCGCTGCTATTTGCAGTGCATTCATGCTGCTCGAAATCGTCAACGTGCGCTTCGATTCCGCAGGCTCGCGAAATCTGGGGGCCCGCGGCGGGTGCTTCTAGCGACTGCGCCCTCGTTGTGGTGCCGTGCGCATTTTTGCACATGGTGGCCACTTTTCGTGGCAGGTGCAAGGGAAACCTCGTGTTTTCATGGTCCAAAGTCTACTTTTCGTGACAGGTGCAAGGGATCGGAGCGGCTTTGCTTCGAAGTGAAGATTTCATGGCAGGTACAGCACTTGTGACACGGTGGTGATCTTCGAGGCGCTCTGATATAGTGACAGGTGTAGTGAACCGTGACTTTTGGACATGTGGCTCGTTTGCAGATTTCGTGGCAGGCGCAGCACATTGTGAACCTCGACGTGCAGATTTCGTGACAGGCACAGCACTTTGTGAACCTCGACGTGCAAACTTCGTGGCAGGCACAGCACTTTGTGAACCTCGACGTGTAGATTTCGTGGCAGGCACAGCACTTTGTGAACCTCGACACGCAGAGGCACAGCACTTTGTGAACCTCAATGCGCAGATTTCGTGACAGGCACAGCACTTTGTGAACCTCGATGTGCAGTGCAGTTTTCGTGACAGACGCAGCCCTTTGTGTCCCTCGACGTGTAGATTTCGTTGCAGGCGCAGCGCTTTGTGAACCTCGACGTGCAGAGTTCGTGACAGACACAGCCTTTTGTGAACCTCGATGTGCAGATTTCGTGACATGTGCAGCATTTGGTGAACCTCGAAGTGCCGATTTCGTGACAGGCGCAGCACTTTGTGAACCTCGATGCGCAGATTTCGTGACGTGTGCAGACTGGTGAACCTCGAAGTGCAGATTTCGTGGCAGGTACAGCACTTTGTGACCTCTATAAACCTCTGAAAGTGTACCTTGCTCTCATATGTGTGCTCTCCAAGCCGCTTTCCTGATATGCACACCTCTGTCACAACGCTCACCTCTCGCTCTCACTCATATCACTCACACTCACACCCACACTCACTCACTCGCTCTCACTCTCCCTCTCCCTCTCACTCTCACTCGCGCTCTCACTCTCACACCCACTCTCACACTCCCTCTCTCTCACTACTTCACTCACACTCACACTCTCTCGCACTCTCAATCTCATTCTCACTCTCATTCTCACTCACACTCACTCTCACTCACTCTCACTATCTCTCACTCACTCACTCACTCACTCTCTCTCTCTCTCTCTCACTCCCACTCTCACTCACTCTCACTCTCACTCTCGCTCTCACTCTCACTCTCACTCTCACTCTCACTCTCACTCACGCTCATTCTCACTATCTCTCACACTCATACTCCCACTCACCCTCACACTCACCCACTCTCACTCTCACTCACACTCACTTTCACTCTCACTCTCACCCTCTCACTCTCTCACTCACTCACACTCACACTCACTCACTCTCACTCACTCACACTCTCACTCTCACACTCAGTTTCACTCTCATTCTCACCCTCTCACTCTCTCACTCACTCACTCAATCAATCAGTCAGTCAATCAATCAACCAATCAAACTCACTCGCACGCACGCACACACGCACGCACGCACAAACACTCACACTCACACTCACACTCACACTGACACTCACACTCACACTCACCACCACCGCAACCAACCATCACCACGATCTCCACCTTCATCACCACTATCAACTCTCTGGACTCTAATGCGTCTAGATCTCTAGACTTTCTGCTTATAGACCACACACACACTGTTTGGGGTGTCTTGCTGGGACAATTCAAGCTCAAGGGTTCACATAGATCGCTGGTGTCCTGCTCGGGGTGAGATCTAAGTACGGGCGCAGAGGTCACATTGAAGGAGATTCCTTGAACATGTTTGAATGGTGCAGGAAGATATATATATATATATATATTATATATTATATTATATATATATTATATATATTATATATTATATATATTATGTATTATATATATAGCTCCTCTAGCCCCAACCAAAGGTCTGAGACAGAACATATTCAAACTTGATGCAGTGGCTCAGGTGGTAGTTTGAGGTGTCCTCGGCCTTCCAATTGACCTTCAAACTACAGCAACGATCGATGTGGGAAAACAGCCACGGGACCTCCGTGAGACCCCTCTCTTCCGTGAGATATTGAACAACTGTGCTCAATGCTCAAGGTGCCCAAATCAACTTTCACGTCCGAGCCGGTTCAATCAGTGATCTTGGAAGAAGGTCAACCCGCATCAACCCATGCCATATTAGGCTCGGCACCGTGCGACCATGTGCTTCCATTTGAATCCGCCGACCCCGGTCGAAGAAGGGGGAGCGCGCAAGGGAGTACCGTCACTTAGGGGTCAGACACATGTTACAGGTATGAGAGTGGCGAGGTCAGGTCTTCGGGGCCAAGATGAGCGAGACAAATGGAAACAAACTGGCTCGTTTTGGACCAGACTTAGATTGGGAAAAGCCGTGGCGGGGTCAGGTGTTCGGAGCCAGACTTTGCACAAGAAATGAAAGAAAAGTTTTTTTTCTAGGGATTCAGAGGGAGCAGAATTTGCACAAGAAATGAAAGAAAAGTTTTTTTTCTAGGGATTCAGAGGGAGCGTGTGGCATGGAAAGTGCAACCCCTCAAACCCCTCAAACCCCTTAAACCCGTCAAACCCCTCAAACCCCTCGAACCTTGCCAATGGTTCTGCCATTGCACTTGTTCCTAATAGCAGGTGTTCGGAGCCAGAATTTGCACCAGAAATGAAAGAAAAGGTAAAAAGTTTTTTTTTCTAGGGATTCAGAGGGAGCGTTTGGCATGGAAAGTGCAACCCCTCAAACCCCTCAAACCCCTTAAACCTCTCAAACCCCTCAAACCCCTCGAACCTTGCCAATGGTTCTGCCATACTGGCCGCCTCAAACCCCTGGAACCTTGCCAATGGTTCTGCCATACTGGCCGTTGGAGACGCTCCAAAACCCCGCACTTGCTGGACTGTGGGCCCTGGGCTCTGTGCGCTGGCCGTTGGAGACGCTCCAAAACCTCGCACTTGCTAGACTGTGGGCTCTGGGCTCTGTGAGTGCAACCAGGGGAGGCTCGTTTTGGACCAGAATTAGATTGGGAAAAGCCGTGGCGGGGTCAGGTGTTCGGAGCCAGACTTTGCACAAGAAATGAAAGAAAAGTTTTTTTCTAGGGAGATTCAGAGGGAGCAGAATTTGCACAAGAAATGAAAGAAAAGTTTTTTTTTCTAGGGATTCAGAGGGAGCGTTTAGCATGGAAAGTGCAAACCCCTCAAACCCCTCGAACCTTGCCAATGGTTCTGCCATGGCACTTGTTCCTAAGAGCAGGAGTTCGGAGCCAGAATTTGCACCAGAAATGAAAGAAAAGGTTTTTTCTAGGGATTCAAAGGGAGCAGAATTTGCACAAGAAATGAAAAAAAAGGTTTTTTTCTAGGGATTCAGAGGGAGCGTTTGGCATGGAAAGTGCAACCCCTCAAACCCCTCAAACCTTGCCAATGGTTCTGCCATACTGGCCGCCTCAAACCCCTCAAACCCCTCGAACCTTGCCAATGGTTCTGCCATACTGGCCGTTGGAGACGCTCCAAAACCTCGCACTTGCTGGACTGTGGGCCCTGGGCTCTGTGCGCGGGCCGTTGGAGACGCTCCAAAACCTCGCACTTGCTAGACTGTGGGCTCTGGGCTCTGTGAGTGCAACCAGGGGAGGCTCGTTTTGGACCAGAATTAGTTTGGGAAAAGCCGTGGCGGGGTCAGGGGTTCGGGGCCAAGATGAGCGAGACAAATGGGGCCAAGAGCGCAAGAAATGAGAGAATAGTTTTTTTTTCTAGGGATTCAGAGGGAGCATTTGGCATGGCCTCGGAGGCTCGTAGCGATGCACTCGTTCCTAATAGCAGGCGTTCGGAGCCAGAATTTGCACCAGAAATGAAAGAAAAGGTTTTTTTCTAGGGATTCAGAGGGAGCAGAATTTGCACAAGAGATGAAAGAAAAGTGTTTTTTCTAGGGATTCAGAGGGAGCGTTTGGCACCGAAAGTGCAACCAGGGGAGGCTCGTTTTCGACCAGAATTAGATTGGGAAAAGCCGTGGCGGGGTCAGGTCTTCGGGGCCAAGATGAGCGAGACAAATGGAAAC